TGGGAATGTTGTGGGAGTGGAGTATCGATAGAGTGTAGTTGCAATTATTAATAATATTTGTTTTATTGACAGCAAGTCAAGAAACTACACACATACATACATATGTACGTATGCCAATTGGCAATGGGACTGGGTCTAGCTCTTGCTCTTGGTCTTGCACTTGGCCCGTTTGATATCGTCGTGTATGCCCATTGGCGTCAAATTTGTGCAATATTGGAGTAGTTAGTATATAAATTAGAATGCTAATCGATTGCCATAGATACGCCCAGAAAAGCAATGGCAAATGAAGCGGGCCACAATAGAATGCTGGCAATTCCGGTTAATAAACTTGATTTAAAACCAGAAGTGAGCAAAGCACAGCAGAGCTAAGGCAAAGGCACAACCAAAGGCAAATAAATAAATTGCTACTAAGTACGACAGGGGACAGACAGCACAATAAAATCGAATTGTATCGAATCGAAGCGAATGGAAGTCGCAATCACAACATAAAGTGTGTAACAAATGGGTCGCAAGTGGAATCAAGTGTTCGACTATGTGACAAATTGTCAAACATTCTCGCCACAAAGGCGGACGGAGAGCACACGCGACGCGGCAGCAAAACAAATGCCGATTGCAATTCATTGAAAATTGACGTAGCGCACTGCGAGTTGAGGGACGGACAGACTCAAAGTCAAGCCAAGCCAAGCCAAGCCAAGCCAAGCCGAGCCATGCCATGCCATGGGAGAGGCCACACGGCGTATGTGCTATATATGTATATATGTTCCTCTTCTTCTTCTTCCTCGTTTTCTTTTAAATTTCTGTCAGGTTGACTGCCAAAATGCTTGTAGAGCAAAAGTAAAGCAAACTTAACCAAATAATGGCCGCGACCATAAAGTCGTTTATATTTTCATGGAATTTCTTAAAAGTTTATTGCACTTGTTATATACCCTGTGGGTATTAAAAAGAAAAACATGTGTGCCTATAGTAGGCATTTTCAAATGGGCTATATAGACTAGAGCAGCAGAACCTAGCCTGTTTTATCTTTTGATATGACTTTAAATTCTTATATGAATATCTGATAATGATATATGTATATTATACAATATATATATTTATTTATAAATGAATATATGTATATGTATGTATATCTCATTCTCTTCTTTCATATCTGATCTCCTCCGTTTATCTTCATATACCATTTCATGCAGGGAATCTCTTAACTTAGCACTCTCTGCTTAAGCAAGTATACCCAGTGGTTTTATCATCATAATTACTGTCATATACGTGTAATCGCGGCTCAGACCAAACAAAATACAAATAGTGCAACAGGTTTATTTTTTTTTTGTATATATATGTATATGTATCTATATATGCATTTATATATGCGACTATATATTTATCATTTGCTACTGTTGGCAGCCATTGCAGACAATTTGTTAATTTTGCTTAGCGGCGTTAATTGTTTTGGCCAAAGCTCAGTTGGTGCTACTACTGCTGCTGCTGCTTCTATCTTTGTTGCTATTTCGAAGTGTGCAATTAAGCTTTTAATAATAATTTGTATTAAAATAGTTGAACGAGTTAAGTTTGGCAATGGGGCTGCTGACGTTTTGCAATGTGGCATAGAATGTGCAGCGCATGAATTACACAAATTGTTTATGAATTTGTTTAATTGTTTGTTGTCAGTCATTCGCTTGGGCTGTTGGCCAAATAAGAAAGTGCAAAGTAATTTGAGTTGAAATGCCTTTAAGCTACGAGTGAATATATTTAGAAGAGTGATTGATTGATTTAGCTATATAGAATTCCAAGCGCGAAGTATGACCAAAATTATTTTATTTTTAAGCAAATTCAATATTATCATATACACAATTCTAAATTAAGAAATAATGTACATGAGCTTATATAAATTGAGGGATTTCAGTTTTTCTCAAGCTAAACAATGTTTAATGGGTAATATACCAAGATAATGTTGAAGCCCCTACAAGCTGCAGAAAAATTACAAATTGATTTACCAAATGACCGTCCCGTGAGCACCAGCACAGTCTCAGACGCAATACTCGATTACATTAAGCCGTTAATTATGACAAACAAGTCGGTAATAGATTGGGGCGTCACAATAACAATACAGCTGGGCCAAAATTAAACTAAATTATAGTTGCACGTCGCCCGATTTGACAAGCCCTGCGTAACAGCTCATTTGTCCATCAGTGGGGCGGGGGGTGTGGCGGCTGGGGGAAAATACACTCAAACAACAGGCAACGGACATTGCGGCAATCGATGGGAAACTGTGAGATAAACATCTGCTCAATCAAAATTGATCTACACGCCCGTCAATCAAAACGGGAGACAAAAGGCTTTTCAATCGATTTTGATGGCTAATGCATGCCACAAAGGGTAACTGTAAAGCACAGCAGTAGTAGCACCAGCAATACACATAGATTCACATACACACACACACACTGGCACACACACTTTCATCGCTGACCTTGACGCAAATCAATGGGTATTTATTTTGTTTTTGCTTTTTTCGAATGCCTTTTTTTCTGCACCTTTTTTGGCCGACATATTTTCAGAGCAGTCGCTGCAGTCGCTTTTTTCGCCTCAATTTCAGCTTTGGCTTCGGCTTAGGCTTTGGCTTTGGGCCGTGCAGATTTCTAAACACAATTGAAGACAAATCCACTTTATAGCCGTCAAAATGTACGAGAGCAGCAGAGAAAAAAACCAAACGTTGAGCAAGGCAGCAAAAATTAAAACTTGGCAAAAAAAAAAAAGTACTTGGAGTACAAGCAGCAATAAAAACTTAAGCAAAAAATGCTAAGCATAAGAAACGCGTTTGCGCATAAAAAAAAAATTAAAAGCAAAAAAAAAAAAACAAAAAACGTTTTGGCCAATTTCAAAGTTTTTTTTTTTTTTTTTTGTATGTATTAACCGTTACTTTTTTTTACCCACTGAGCTTACCAATGCACCCACCACATTTGTTGTGGTTCTTGTTGTTGTTGTTTGTTTGTTTTCTCAGTGGTTGTAGCTGGGTTTTTAATCCCGTGCTGTGGCTGTTGTTGTTGTCGCTGCTATTGAAGTTGATTATTTGTATTTGATTGCTGGGCTTTCTATATGGCAAGCCGTATTGTTGTTGTTGTTGCTGTTGATGGTGTTCAGTGCATTTGTTGCTAAGCCGTTTTGAATTGGAGCAATATTGGCGCGCGCTATATGTGTACGATTTTTTATTTTTATGACGATTTGTTTATGGCTGTTCGTTTTAATTTTGGAATTAATTTTTGTTTGTTTTTGCTTTTTTTCTTTGACCAGTTTTTACAGTTCGTTGTTATTTATGTTTATATAACAATGTACAATTATCTTAGCCGCACTCACACACTCTGAAAACGTAATATTTAACTGACTTTGTCGAAATTGGATTGCACTGTCGGAGAACGTTGCGTATACGAAATATTTCTCGATGAGTTTTTAGTACGGTCCTTAAATATGTTTTCAGCTGTGCTTGGGCTAACAGAGTCTCTGGGGGAAACTTCTAACTTCTAAGTGGTTTTCTTAGGGCCAGTGGGGAAGGCGGCAGTGCCTGGTGGCAAATGACTTTCACGCGACAAACGCAGCGGCGGCAACAGCAAATAATGTTCGAGAATGGAGTTCGAGTTCGCGTTCGAATTCGAAATGTTTATTTTTTATGCAGGTTGTGCCGTGCGTCCGTTTTGCTACAGCGTCCACAATTAACTGAATTCCCACAGCGATCAGAAAACTGATAAGTGCTCGCTGCTGACTAGCGCCCAAGAAGGCTGCCAAAAGCTCAGAGTACACCAGACACAGAGACAGAGGCAGCGGCAGAGCCGAGTAGAGCCGAGCCGAGCCGTGCCAGCAGAGACGGAGTGAGCCAGCCAGCAGAGACTGAGGCAGAGCCAGTCGCAGTCGCCGCCAAGTGCCAAGGCAAATACAACAACAACAGAGCACAAGAAAGGCAAAAGCACAAGTACAAACACATACAGACGCACATGCAATCACACACATAGGCACACAGCCATTCACAGGCAGTCGTCGCACAGTGTGCAGAACAGAGGCATATTTATCATAATTTACAATTAGACAATGTTATTACTGCTTACAAAAAATATTAAGAGAGTACAATTTTAGTTTGTTTCGTTTTAATCGCAATCCTCTAGAGTTACATTAAACTAAGCTAAAAACTGCAAAATTTCTATCAAACGAGCTTTAGCTTAACATTAAGTATGCTAATATTATATATTTACCAATACAGTTAAGTCAACCAAAATATCTGTAACACCAAATATAATCTATAGCCTCAGCACTTCCTACTTAACATAATTAACCACCGTACAATGTGTTGATTAGCTTTGATTTGCTAGAGTAGCAGAAGCCCAGCAACAATCACAGTGACAACAGCTTTTACGGATCAACATCAAAGCAGCCCACAAGCTTCAGCTCAGAAAAGAATGGACACTTCGTTCCACAAACAAAGAGTCGGCTTCGTGTAAGCTTTATGCTCGACCAACGGTCAGCAGCAGAAACGCAATGTTCGTGCTCGCAATTCAACTGCACGAAAGCTTTTTGAAGCTTAACACACGGCTTTGCTGTTAACTCGCTTAACATGCTTCTGTTAAGTACATGGGCATTACATGAAGTTGGCTGCACGCGCAAGTTTGAGTTGCGTTAAGCTAGCTGCGAACGCCCTAATTTCAATTTATCGACCACCACCACTTTAACGGAAATACAAATTTCAAAATTTCATGTCACCTTAGCCATTATGAAATTACACATTGTTGATAAGTTTATGGATAATGTTTATTATCAAGCCATATATCAATTTACAGTATTTACAAGCAATATTAAATATCATATTATCAAAATAAATTTGCAACATTTTGCTAATAATTGGAGTGCGGGCTTCGTACACGTTTAATCTTATTGCCTAGCTAGCCATATATTGTTGGTATTAAATGATTTAACGTTCCAAATGCACAATATATTAATATAAGTTTAGCTTATCACAAAATCAAAAGGAATTGCTGTACATTCATTAAACAAAATGGCAAATGCTGAATTTGTTGCTTCAGAACATCCAATTATCAAATTTCCCGCGACGCGTTTGTTGTCTGTTTAATAAAGAAAGTAAATTATTTATATATATATATTGAGCCATTGATTAGAGTGATTAAATTGTTACGGTAAGCTAGGCTAAAGTGCAACTACACGTATATATTCTAAGTTTTAATTGGAATGATTTCTTAATGATATGAATTGATAATTGACGAGTTGTTAATCAGATGAGTTAAGAAAGAAAGAATAAAAAACCAAAAGAGACATTCAAACGTTTCAATTTAATTATTTATTTGGATTACTTAATCTTTAGGCATCTTCATCGAACATTTATTATTTATTTATATGTGTTTGTATATCTTCGCCTTAGTATTTATAGTACATGTTTCATAACTTTAATACATCATAAAAATAATCATAATCATATGAACAAAACAAACTGTAATTGGGATATATGCTTATGCTAAAGCGCAGCTCATTTTAAAAAGATCACACAATGCCCACAATGTTTTCAGAAAATTGTAAAAAATACTTATCAAAAATATATATATAGATATACAGTTATATACGTATATATGTACTTCGTATTGGAACTGAAACATTTATGCAGCATGCAAAATTTATACCAAATTTTTGAGTTTAAACAAAAAATGGCAAAATGATCAAAAATGAACATAATCATAGAATTATATAGTTTATATATATATATTTATAGTGTTATCTACTGGATATATGGATAAAAGGCAGCTCGCTGTGAACTAGCTGGGATTTAACATTGAAAATTTGATATTTCGGTTGATAAGTACAAGTTCAGTTTTGATTTTCGTATACGCTCTACAATATTGGGATTGTCTTCGATACGGTTTGCCACACGGTTTGACAAGCATTGGAATGTAAAAATAAACAATAAGTTCTATTGACAGCTTCATTTCACGACTTTCGCTTCTATTTGTTTTAAAGTTAATGAAAACCATATAGATTAAGGCTAGCTAAAATGGATTTTAACTACAGAAATCTCTAAAGCAAACGCACACAGCTAAGCGGGCCAACAAAAAAAAAAAAAACAATCTGGGTGCAAGCACGACTATGGGCAGAACTTGGCTGAGTTCCGAGTGATTGGAACTCCCAGCTGCTTCAAACTTGCGTCACGCACTGCGCATATTTGTCCAGTTCGCCCCGCAGCACCCGCACGCGCTCCGTCTCCTCGCGCAGCGTCCGGATCAGCTCCTCGATGGTGCGCTGTTGCGTCAACACTGTCGTCTCCAGCTTATCCAACCGGCACTCGAGCTCTTGCACTCGTGGCAGGGTATCGGCGTTGCCCTGATGGTTGTTGAGCAACGCTGTCGCCGGACTGTCGTTCACGCTGACATTGTTGCTGGTGCTCCTCTCCGCCTGCTGCGTGCTGCTGGCATTGTTGCTCGTCTTCACCAGGGGCGACACGCTGCGATTACGTATCGACAAGCTCTTGGGGCGTGCCGCGCGTGACTCCTCATCGCTGCTCATGGCAGTGGGTGCGGCAATTGGTGCCGCTGCTGGTGCTGGTGCTGGTACTGCTGCACTTGTCGCCGTCGCCTTTGCTGCAGACATGCTCTTGGACATGATGGCATCGTGGCTGTTGTTGCTGCTACTGCTACTGTTTATAAAATTTGTGGTCGCTGACTCGATCTTTTGGCTGCTGCTGCTGCTGCTACTGGTGCTGCTCTCCACGATCATGGACTGCTGCATGATGCTAGAGGAGGTCACCGCACTCGATTGCACTTTCGTTGCTGTCGTATTGCTGCTGCTGCTGCTGCTGCTGGTAACGACTGTCGCTTGCTCGCTTGCAAACAGCTTTGAGGTGCGCTCAGCAACGGAAACTGGACCGCCACGGGGCTCAACGTTGGGCGAGCTCTTTTTGCGAGTCACCTGCGACGCTTTCAGCTCCTCCATCCAGGGTGCCTTTTTCTTTTCCCATTCGCGTGGCTTGGGCTTGGCCAGCTGCGGCTCCTCGCCCATCGAATTGTCATCGGAGGAGCCTGTCGCCTGCTTGCCACCAACACCGCCGGCGCCGCCATCTTCACTCAGCTCGCTGGCGCTGCTGGCCATGCCGCTGCCGTTGACATATACCGTATTGTTGTTGCTCTCAACCACCACATTGATGGCCGCCGAGGGCGGTCGACGCTTGGGCGCCTTGACGCGACCCGCGCGCATGTCCTGCAATATCGAACCGCGTTCCACGCGATCAAAGTCCGTGTCCTCAACGGCTATGGTAGCAGCACGTCTCATAACCACACTGCCAGCTGCGCCCGCTTCGGGCAGTTGTCCGCCTAATAGTTTACTGCCAGTCAATCCATCGGAGACGTCGTGCGATACGGCGCTGGTTAATTTACTGTCAGCGCTCTTCTTCTTCATGCCGCCGCCCAGAATGCCGCCTGCCAAAGCAAATGGAAGAGGCGATTATTAATTGAAATTGAAAACTGAATGAAATCACTCAAAGAGTTTGCCTTGTTTACACTTAAGCTCTTGTGAACTGGTATAGTAGCACTGAAACTATATATTTCTGCATCGGTTATATAAATCGTCTGTTTATCTTTTGCCACATCTTTTATTTCCATTCACTCTTTTACTTCTCTCTATGCTTCTATTTCCACTTGCGTTCATTCTTCATAATTGTCTTTCATTTTTTTTTTTTTTTCAACGTTATCTATTACCTCTGCTAATTATCGACTTCATCCGTGATTTTACTGCTTCTTTACTAGCTTTAAGAGTTGCTTTGCCGTGCCTAATTCACCTTTAACTGATTTCTTTTTTCTTTTTTTGCTATGAATATAAAACATTAACTACACTCATTACTTTAGCTATGTATATACTTATATATACCATAACCTTCATTGTTTCCTATTAATAATATTTTAAATTATATTTTAGTTTATGGTCACATTTTGCATACTATATAAAAAGTTTTATTTATACGATACTTCTATGACTTTTTTCTTCTTCTTTGCGACTATTCATTATTAGAAAATTGTTCATTTGGGATTAGTTGAATGATATTCATATGCATCTCAGCTACGATCTCTGCTGCTATCATACAAATGATATTTCCTACTAAGTAGTTTCATCTATTACTCTTATTAGTTTCTCCAAAGTATTCCTCCATTTCATTTGCTACCCAAACTGCTTGCTGACTCTTAACAAATCGTAAACTTTCTGAACTGCAATGGCTACTCCTTCTACTGCTCCTGCACAAGTCTCAATGCAGCAGCACTCACTTTTTTATGGCCTTCAAGCAACTACACCCACACATAACCATTTAGCCAAGCTGAAACTCTAGCATTTTTATTGAGAACCCACAAGTTGAAGCCTTCCACTTACTACTTTAACTGCCTGTAACTGCAGCGCTTGCTCTTTGAGTAACTCCATTTCAATTGAATTTTGCCAACTTACCTGTGACTCCACCCGTGGGCGTCTTTTTAAGCGGCACACTTGGCTTTTTGCCCACCGCCGGCGGCGTTGGCGACTTTATTTTCTCATCCATATTGTCCAGACTCTTGCGCAGTTCCGCATACGCCGAGGCTGAAGTGTTGTTGCTGCTGCTGCTGTTGCTCGTAGTTGTTGTTGTTGTTGTTGTTATCATCTGGCTGCCCTGCTGCTTGCCAGCGCCACCGGGCAGCTTGCTCAGATCGAGGTTCTTGTTCTCCAGCGACTTGCGCTGGGCGGCCACAGTGCCGATCGGCAGACCCGTTTCGCTGAGTATATCATTGAGGGAGTCGCGCGATCCGAAGCTCTCCTTGCGTCCCGTTGCAGACGAATTGCTGCTGCTGCCCGTCTTCTTGATATAGACCTTCGATGTGGTTGAAGCACTGCTCTGCTGCTGCTGCTGCTGCTGCGTCACCGCTGTGGTGGTGGTGCTGCTGCTGCTGCTGCTGGAGTTCGTTGTGGTCATGTGGCTCGTGTTGCTAATCTTGCGCTGTGATTGCTGCGCTGTGCCTGCTGCCGCTGCCGCTGCTGTTGATGGCTCGTTAATGGGCGCGACTGCAAGAGGGCAGAAATATGTTGAAATCATTTTAGACAATGGAGTTGCTGTATTCATCGCTGAATGTGGGCTGCATTTTAGGCCACCCAAAAGCAACAATCAGCGCTTGATCATCATCAACAAGAACAACAACAACAACAAATTGCGCACTTCAAGCTGAGTTCCGTCCAGACGAGACAAGTTGGGTCAACTTGAGCCGAGTGCTGCGTTGTGCTGTGCTGTGCTATGATGTGATCTGTTGTGTTTATTATTAAAGATGAGCACGTCGCGAGCATCGGCGTGACTAACATTCAGAATGGCAACCGCCAAGCGACTACCGCAACAGCTGAGCTAAGCTGCGCTGAGCGCTAATGCAAACAACGAAACGAGTTTCGCCGCTCAACTGTTGCCAAATGTCAATAAATTAACGTGGTTGTCAAACAAAGCGCTAGTGGCGTAGGAGCCAAATGCAAAAGCCAATTCACACACAGCCAACTACAAATGTTCAGCAAGAGATGCGTGCGTGACACGAACAAACACATGCAGCATCAGCATACACTAGGGGAATCTAGCTACAACAAATTAATGGGAATTCTTTCATTAAACTTTTTAGGGTATTGGAAAAACTTTAAAAATATATCAATGGTTGTAGAGCTATGATATTCCTTCAAAATGATACTAAAGATTTCTTCAAAACTATAAAAGAGTATGAACATTTTTAATAGATTTTTTTAATCAATTTTTAATTTCTTAAAAAAAATATATATATATATTTATTAAAAAAAAAAAGAGTATGAAAAAAATATATTATATTACAAATTATTTAAACTATAAATAGGTTATTAACATTTGTTAGAAATTCGTTATTGAATTCTACTTTCTTTGTAAACAGTTCTTGAAGAGATATCTGCTTAAAGAGGAAAAACCTAATTAAATCTATGCTCCTCCAAAAATAACGAAATCAAATGATGTGAATAACTTAACTTGATCTACTTTAACGGAAAATATGCTTACAGCTGTACCTAATTTCTGTCTATTACAAAAAATGTCTCAACCCATTCTCATGCGTGTCACGTGAAGCACGCGCACATCTCTACTACAAACGCCTTAAGATAAATAGCAAATGTGCGAGGCACGCATACATACATACATAAATAAACGGCAATAAATGCTGTTGATGGCAACAGAAATCGAAGCACACATTGATTGAGTAACGCTTAAATGTGTAAAGGTCAGGCAAAACAAAGCAGCGACAGCAACAATCACACTCACAATCACAATAACAATGACAATAACAACAATCAGAAAATGGACAGCAGACAAATAAATGGCAACAAAAAGTTAGCCATAGAATAGACAGCCTGGCTACGAGCCGTTGATAATTGCAAATGGCAAAAGCGAATGCGCTGACGACTTTCACTGCTACCAAATGACAAACAGGCATAAGCAGTAAGCAGCAGCAACCACAACAACAACAACAACAACAACCACAACAACAGTTAAAAGTTGTGCGCGAATTGAAATTTAATATATAAGATATTTGTATTATTTTTTTTTTATTTTTAAGTATTGAGTAATTGAGCGTCATTGGTGTTTTGTTGTTGGTGCTGTTGCCCGGGGCAAAGCGAAGCGCGCGCACAAGCACAAGAAAACGAAAGACTTAGGCAACAAACTTGACTGCCTGCCTTGATTTAATGATGACTGCGTTTCGTTTTAACTTTTTAACTTTTAACAGGCTAATCATCAATCTCTCGCACACACACACATACACACATGCGTGTGTATTTAATTATATGTTTCAATTTTCAAAGCGACAACTCGCAAACCGCAACAAAAAGTTGCCAATTAGCTAAACTCCATGGCTGCGGCCCGTGTGGCAAATGCAGTTGCAGAAAGCAGCAAAAGAAATCCGCAAGAACGGTAATTGTAGCACACGCACCAGTCACAGCACCAACAACAACAATAATAAAACCAGAGAAAGACAACAATAAAAATAAAAATAAAAAATAAACTTGACGCCGCACCAAAAAGAAATATATAATTGAATAACGTAAATGGTCAAGAAATCAAAACGTACTGAGCCAAAAAGGTAAACAAAAATGCTGGCAAAGGTACAACAAGCGCTGCTCGGACTTGGGAGAGCCGCAGAGAGAGAGAGAGACACACAGCAACTCTCTTGGCAACATTGTTGATAAGCCGAAAGCTAAAACAATCAAACAATGATGGAAGGGTGCAGATAGAGGAGAGCAAAGATCGCAGAGCGAAGAGACATGAAGGGAGAGCGGAGATGGGAGAGTGGCGAGTGGAGAGCGACGGCCGAACAAGTGAAGCGCGCGCATTTTGTTGTTGCGGGGCTCGGCTCAGATAATCGCTGCCTAATGTGCGCCCATAATGAAGTTCAGCGCTCATGATCAAGTTGATTATGTGCGAGCAAGCCCAGAGAGACATGCAGAGAGAGAGAGAGAGAGAGAGAGAGAGAGCGAGGCAAAGAGCGCAACATCAAATTGGAACAAAAGCCGCAACAAAAACAATAAACGAAGCACAAAAACCAGTTACAACTGATGTTTTAATATTGTGCTGGTTGTTGTTGTTGCTGCCGCTGTTGTTATTGTTGTTGTTGCTGTTTCAAGCGAAGGTGGTTTGCCGCTGCGGTTGTTGCTGTTATTGTTTTTGGCTTTTGCCTTTGGAACTGCGACGTTGACAAAAGCTAATGGCAAAGCAAAGCCAGAAAAATACAAATAAAAATAAATTTGATTTGCGATGCGAAAACTACATTCAACCAGAACGAATGATGTACACACTTAGTGTTACTCATACGTGGGCTGGTAGAAAGAAGCAGCAGAAACTTCTTTCAAAATGCGAAAATTAAATTCTGACTTGATCTGTGTTAACTCTTAATATTTTCTAGTGATTGGAGGAGAGTTATTCGTAAGAACTATAAAGCTCATTTGAATATGTTAGGCAGTTAATAGGAAGTTTTTATTAGACCATTGTGTTTCAACCTGGGAAGCACATGCATACATATATATTACTATAAAGAATTATTTTAGCTAACAATTTAAAGTTTTTTTAATGTGCAAAGAGCAAAGATGAACTGCAAAATCATATTTATACCGATTATAAGTCGAATTTAAAACCAAATACTTAACAGCTACACTTGCTTTGTAGTTGAGGCCAAATAACTCAACGAAATGCGCCAAATCAACAAAAATCAAAATCGATTTAAATCAAACTTAATATTTTTCGCAAGCTACCGCAAAGTATGCAACGTGAGACGAGTCAAATATGTTTATATACATATATCTGTATATATATTTAACTATATACATACATAAACAATAGGTGAAATAAAATGCAAAGCATCAGCCAACTAATTAGGTAACCGAGTCAAAGCCGTTTGCGCGTTTTAAACAGCGCCGAAAAAAAAACGCGTAGAAAACGCCAACGTTTCAGAGGCAACAAAAGAAAATGTTTAACAAAGACAAAGCAAATAGCTAGCAAAAAGTATAAATATATATATGTATATGTCTATGTCTATGAAAAATAAACAAGTTTAGCCATGCAAATTGACAACGAAAAGCGAAAACAAACATGAAAAACCGCATTGGCAGTGGCTAAGGAAAACGATGCCAAGCGAGCTTTGGCTAAGATTTTCCGCGTCTTTGGCTTTGGAGTAGAGACTGTGTCTAATATTTCGAGAGCATTGCCGGCGCCAAAGAAAGCCAGCTCGAGATGGTAGATAAATAATAACAATAATGAAAATGGAAAATAAATCATAGAAATTATGTACATGGCCAAAAAGAGCCAAGCGATTTTCCATTTCACAGCGAGAAAAGGCCTCGCGGCACCACGGAGAAAGGAAAATGAAAACTGGCCAAAAACGAAAAGAAAAACTCTTGAGGCTGCCACTGGAAAAACTCGTTTACATACAAATCGTCGTAATAAAGCTGGCCATGCGAGCGCCCAAGAACTCGAAAGAGCCGCCGCGCTGCGGTACCGCGCCCGCTCCCGGACCCGCTGCCCCAGCACGGCGTGTGCGTGGCCGTGGACGCGGAGGGGGCAGAGGCGCTGCCGGAACATCAGAGTGCAGTTGGTGTGCGTGTGTGTTGAGTGTGTTGAGTGTGTCGAGTGTAGAGTATGGTGTGTCGTGTAGCAGAGTGTAGTTGTAGTTAGCCGTTGTTGTCGTTGCAATGGAGTTTTTTATTACACACGAAATATTGTAGAAAGAGATAGAGAGAGAGAGGAGTAGAAGAGAAAGAGGGAGAAAAGTGTAGAGGAAAATTACACAGAGACAACGACACATCACAGATATGTACATATATATGTATGTATATAAATAAGTAAATGAAGTCGAAGAAGAAGAAGAAGCAGAAGATAAAGTAAAATAAAGAAATACAAATAAAATCTTGAATTACTCGTAGAGCAAGAAAGTCGACATAAGAGCGATAGTGAAACGTAAACAAAATGCTAATAAAAGTCGTTCAACAAAATGCAAGTAATAATAAACATAAAATGGAAAATATATACATATACATATATATGTATATATAAATCGTTCAGATGATGTTGTATGCAGTGATTCGTTTTAAACATGTTGAAGAAATGAGTCGAGTCGAGTCGAGTGGAGTTGTGCATATGTGAATATATGGGTGTGTGCGTGTGTGTGTGAAGTGGATCTGAACTGATGTGTGATGCGAGTGTTGTGTGACTATTCGAAATTTGGGCTAGAAGCTCTGTGAACTATTTGGAATAGCTACGAATAGATGTACAGAGGAATACAACTATAGCTGTACATATATACATATTCGCTTTAGTATTTGTGCACAATCTATAGATCTATATAGTCTATAAAAGCTAGAAAAGCTGCGATAAGCCTCTGTCTATAGGGGATATACACACATATATATTATAGCTAATACTTTGAACTCATTAGCTGAGCTTGTTAGACGAGACAAAAGAGCGAACGTATTTCCCATTTGAAACTAACTTAACTTTTCTGTATATAAACTATATAAACTTCTGATATACGGTTATACATAAATATCAGTTTCAATATTTACCCACTGAGAATTATATAATCTTCTTCAACAAAACATACTAGATACAACTCATTTATTCCGCGGAAATATATGGGAAATTCCCCGATAACTTCCTCCAGAGTTGACAGGTCTTGGGTCTTACATGTCTTAATATATCAAAATAAGACCTAGGACTACAAACTATCAGAGTGCTAACAAACTCTTATCAGTTATTGATAAATAGGTTCTTTTTTATGTAGATATACTATAAGTTTTACTTCCTAGAATGTAGATACACAATAAAATTTACTTTAAGAAGTGCAAAAATTCATTATGGATACTATATCACAAGTGGAGCTAAATTTGAAAGTGTAGCTAAAACTTACATTTTGGCTACAATCTTATCACCATGATAGAGTTGCTTGGGTGGCTTCAACTACGTCTACGGCTTCATTTAACACTCGTCACAAATTCGACAAGTTTTTTCTTTAATTAATTCAATTAGCGAAACGAAACGTTTATTGACTTTTGTATGGAACGAGTTGGGGACGTCACGTCAATTGACGATCCGGTCGGTCGGTACGGGCTTGAGTTTTCAATTTCAAATTTCAATTTGGGGAAAATTGCATCCAATTAAATGCAGCGCAACGAAGATGCGGATGAGAGCAAATGACGGACGATGAAATGATGCAGTTGACAGACCAAATCAAAACTCATCGACAGTGAATGCCAAATGAATGCGATGAATGATATAAATGCGATGGCTCTTGTTGTCGTCATATGTTATGTGAACTTACCTTCTGAGGGCGTCAAGAGTTTGACAAAATTATCGGGAAAGACGCCCACTTTGCCGTTCAGCTCGCCCTTCCACCAGCCCTTGTCCGGCAGCTCCATGCTGATGATATTGATAATGTCGTCCACCTTGAGCTCCAGCTCGTCCTCGTTCTGCGGCGCATAGGGGAACTCCACGCGACAAATGTCGCGATGTGGCTTCGGTGGTAACGTGGGCGCAGCAGCAGCAGCGGCAGCAGCTGCTCCACTTGCAGCGACTGTGGATGCCGTGGCTCTGTTTTTCGATTGCTTTGCTGTGGCAGGTGCAACTGCTGCTGCTGCTGCTGCTGCTGCTGCAGGAGCAGCTGCTGCTGTTGTTGCCGTTGTTGTTGTTGTTGCCGCTGTCGCTGCTGTTGCTATGTTGGCAGCTTTTGCCGTTAGCGCCGATGTCGTGACCGTTGCACCAATTGTTGGCGGCCGCTTGGAGGCCAGAATCGGCGATGGTTCGATATGTTGCACAAAATTTGAGGGAAATACGCCAACTTTGCTGCGCAAGCGACCGCGCCACCAGCCTTCCTCGACCTAAATGAGAGCAAAACAGCACAAAAATACGTTCGTTCTTTCGTTTATTCATATTCGCTTTCAGTTCTGTGTTATTGGGTTGCGTCAAAACTTATTGGCAAAGAGGTTAAATGGGGGTTGTGGGCACTAAGTGTATGCGGTTTGTGGCTATATATATATGTATATGTATGCACACATACACATAGACAGTCTGTGTGTTTGTGTGTGTGTGGATGTGTCTGTGTACATACCTCCCCTAGGAATTCAATGACATCACCCACGGCCAGCGTCAGTTCGTCGTCGTTGACTTGTGTGTAACTGTAGATGACTTTACAGCGGCGATTCGATGTCGCTGATTTCTCCCTAAGAGCGCAAAATTCAAATCAAAAGAGAGAGAGACAAAAGAGTGCAAAAATTATATATGTATTAATGTATGCAAAGAGAGAGAGAGCGAGAGCGAATTCACATATTCTGTTTACAATCAATGACACCAGCTGAAAGTTGGCTTTAGAATATGTGCTAAAAATGATACAAAAAAAAGTCTGAATATAAAATTTAAGTTTAGTGAGAGAGAGACAGAGAGAGAGAGAATAAAATCACAAGAATTATCTGCCTAATAACTAATTTAAATTCTAGCTGTTAATCGATAAGATTAAATGTTAAACTTATCAAGCCAATAAATATGTTGATTGGCTAAAAAGCTTTAAACGTATTTGACTTAGTAAAAACATTTAGAGAGTATAAAATATATAAATTAAAATCTCTTTTAAAAAAAAAAATCGATAATAAATAGTTCTCTAATTCATATTGATGTCATATGATATTATTATTTATAATTAATATAATTTAATTAAATTCAATAAATAAAATAATTAAATGGAGAAAGGCAGCAAAAATAAAGCTAATGAATTCCAAGTCTATGTTGATTTTTATAGTATATTTTTAATGATTATTTTTCTCCTATTTACAACAGCTTCTGCTGAAGCATTTTCCACAGCAGTTATCAATGACTCTCAGACAGTTTTCAGCTAATGTCATTTGAATGTTAAGCTGATTGCGTCACCAACCTGAGCTGCACCGCCGCACTGTCATCGCTGTGGTTGCCATTGCTGCTGGGCTCCAGCACACGAACAAAATTGTCCGGAAACATGCCCGTTACGCCGGAGGATTTCAGTGTGCCCTGCCACCAGCCGCCGGGCATCTGTTTGATGCGATGTATGATGGCACCCTTGTGTAGATCCAGTTCATCTGGTTCCTTGGCAGTATACTCGTACTCCACTATTGCACAGATTGCTGCAGAAAAACAGAGAAAGATATAGAAAGAGAGAGTGATACATGATATTAGTAAGCCAATGGGGTAGAGCCTTATATGGGACACGCGCAATTTTTAATGGCAATGTCCAAGTGCACATATTTACTATTGCGCAATCCCGGCGAGTCTATCTGCCGCCTGCCCCCCTCGCTGCCCGCCCACTGGCTAATGTGTTGTCTATCGTTTCGCTACGTGACACTCACATTTTTGTTTATTTTCGTACAAAAAAAAAATGCTTAAAAAGTAAAAGTTACATGACACGCTCTTTGTCTCCATATTTGGAGCTATGCTCGGAATGGGAATGATAATACCAAAAAAAAAAAAAAAAAAAGAAAGAAATAACACACATACAAAGCAAAAACAATATGAGGCGAATCGTGGGCATCATCAGTCAACTAGGCGTCAAAATTGGGTTAACGATTACTGCTGGCAGTGACTGTGGCCCATGTCAAGTGAATTATTAAAAGCCCCGCATTGTATTGTGCCATTTGATATGTTAGAAAGTCATCTTCTTCTTCTTGCTACAGTATATAATTCTTATCAAATATAGACTCGAGATTTGTTGGTCAATTAAAATGATGTCATTAAAAACATTTGCTTGACATAGATATCTATATAAATATTTGCTATGATGCGTAATTGTTGATAATAATGGGTGGCATAGTCATTAGAGGAAATAGAATAATAAATTTCACTTCACTCTATAAGCCAAAAGATATGGCAAGTGGGTAAGATATTTTCAAATATATATTATTTACAATTTTACAAATAATTGTAAGCTTCCATTTCCTTCATTCCTTAGTCCATTCTCAGCCTCACTCTAAATTCTCTATTACTTGTTAAATGTAGCGCATTGCAGAGTCATTATAGCCCATAATTATGTTCATTCACACCACAGAGCAGAAGCCCCCACAAACAAAAAGCTTGTCATGACGCATCATAACAATGCCATAGACGGCGATTCACAAACATATATACATATACATAGATATATGTATGTATATATAATATAATAATAAAACAAGAGCAAATTCGCGTATAACCAACGCTTGGCTCGCTCGCCTTCAATACAATATGAGATCGCAGCTTATTTGGTATTGGAGGCTGCTGCCCCCGCATGAATCGCTTGATTTTCTATCAAATTTGCTTTATGATTTAATCATAAATACATACATATTTATATTTTATTAGAACGCTTGAGACACATAATAATGCATAAACGGAAACATTTATAGGCTAAAGATTCAGAGAGGCGTGCGAAAGGAAACTAGATTATGCGATAAAAAAAATACATAGAAAGGTTGAAGTAGAAATGAATAAGTGAGTAAATACCCATAAAAAATATATAAATACCCTAAGTAACGATAAATTGCTGATAAGGAACAAAACAAAAAGAACCGTTTAGAGGCACAAAGGAACTACCTCTTCAGACAATTCGCAGGGTATGCGATAAGGTGAGCAAATAATTAAATTCCAATCGAACGTGATGTTCTATATGTGAGCCAATAAGACGCAGCCGCTTTTATAACCAGACGATCACAACTCCAATAAATGACGTGTGTGCACTCCAATGCTGAGGATTGCATGTGGAATGGACGGAATGGATGCGTCACTTGAGAGACACTAAGTGTAAACCATTTAGCCGTGTGTAATTGCTAATGCGGACTGACTCTAATGACATCCATAATGAGCAATTAAGACGGACTGTTAAGTGAATCGAAATGCTTTCAATGTGACGAAAAGAGGGCAGCCAAAAGGTGCGAGAGCGAGAGAGAGAGAGAGAGAGAGAGAAGGGGACCACCAACGTTGTGAAGTGCCTGGCAAAAGCAATCTAAAGCTGCTTTGTGTGGCGCACATAATAATTTCACTTTATTTGCAGACGACGACAACATTAAAAGTTGCACAAGACCAGATGGAGAGAGAGAGAGAGAGAGAGAGAGAGAGCGGGAGAAAGAGAGAGTGGCAACAGAGAGAAGTGGCAAAAGTGCTGGAGCCACTGCTGATTTGTAACTGGGCCAACACGGCCGTATTTCAGTTACAGTTTAACCCCACGCCAAAGCCAAACAAAGCGACAGCCAAATGAACCTTTAATGTGGTTTCTGTTACTGTCGCCGAATACCCTGTAAACTGACCGAGACGGGGCATATTGAAATGTGTTGGCTAGCAAGCAAATCTTTAGGCTGGTAATGCTAATAATAAAATAATAATAATAATTAAATAATAATAATTTAATAATAATAATAATTTAATAGTAATAATCATTTAATAATAATAATAATTTTATAATAATAATAATAATAAAAATAATAATAATAATAATAATAATAATAATAATAATAATAATAATAATAATAATA